CATATTTCAATTTAATAACAAGAAATCTACAACAAATTTATGTATTATGTCTATAAATCATGTCTACGTTCATAAATTTTTTTTTTAATATCTGTACGCACAAATGTGTTTATGGACTTTACTGATGATAATTTAATCTACCCACAGTATCCTTTCTCGCAAAGATAATCAATGCGATCGATTTGCCCGCAATATGACGATGGTTGCGGTCTGATAACGAATACATATGGATTATATATATATATATATATATATATATCTGGGAAAATAGGTTTGGAGATGAAAAGAGAGAAAGAGGGAGAGAGCTAGAGAGGTTATGCAATATTAAATCCAATCGAAAATCTATTTAACGATTACTAAGAAATAAAAAATTAGAACCAGAAAAATGTGATGTGTAATTTTTCAAACTAATCAAATAATAAAGGGAAAAAATAAATTTTATTTTAATATTAATAATTTTTATACTATACATCATAATGAATAGTATGAAGAGTATATAGCAATGATTACATTATCTTCATTTTTCAAATTTGCAGTAATTTGAAAAGTTAAAAAAATTTAATGATTATACATTAATTTATTATCAATATTAAAAATGTTATTTTTATACTATGTAAATAATTTGAACGTAATTCATGTATTATACAATAATACTTTATTTAGAGTGCCGTGACTTTGGTTTTTAATCATGTGCGACAGCTCGACACGATCGAAGCTCGCGAGACCTCAGATGCGGCCCAGACGAGTGAACGGTGATTTATTTCTCCCGTCTGCTCTATTTTCGTCATGCGTGCAGCCCTATCTTCCCAGGTTAGTCCAGGATATAGCCGCGTATCCGGATGAACGACTCACCGAAGTCGTTTGACACTCAGCAGAGCACCACGTGTAGCTTGTTCTTCGTCTTTGCGAGGCGCCGTTTCCGGTGAGTCGCATCCGTAGCGAAATAAAGGAAATATTAAGCTTGCTATTTTTAGCTTCACTCGAGTAAATCCGTCGAGTGAAGCTGTGCAAATATTGATTTTCAATCAATTAAAGCATTCGTGATATTTCAATCATTTACAGATTTAAAAAATGCTTGTAATCAATACTTTTCTACAGATCTTTATCAATCCAATATTCAACATTTTATTAGTTTATTTAATATTTTAATAATCCGCTTTTTGAAGCAAATATTTCAAATGGAGCTGTTTTTAATCCGAGTAATTGCATATAATCGAAATATGCGTAAATTCTTTCAAAAAGTATTCACGCGTTTTTTACGATATCTCAATTACTTTTCAGTAAAAAAATATCCGATAGCTGCATGTTTATTTGAAATTCGAATAAAATCAGCTTTATTGTCGGCGAGAACTTTAATCTTAAAAAAACTACTAGAGGCAATTTTCGGTCGTGATGGTCTCAACGAAATGCTCGCGTGTCAACGTAACTTATCACTTGTGTAGCGTAACGCCCGACTTAAAAGTGACGACGCCGGCTATTTGCGAGGCATTCGGCGAATAGGGTCTCCGTAGTAAGAGCTTAATATAGCGCGGTCATGAGCCTCGAATTCTGGGCCAATAATGTCATGGCTTCGTTGCACCTATCTTCCTTCTCTAGAGACAAGCGAAAAAGAGATAAAATCGAATTGAAGTATTAGATTATATTATACAAATGAAATAATTATCTAATAAAGAAATTTGGTTACTATTAACTGTTATTAATTTTTATTTTTATTATAGAGCATATTTTTTGAGCAGTTATTAAATAATTTTATGAAATATAGACAAATTTATTTATCTATTTAATTAATTACGAAAAGATTCATTAAAAAACAGTGAACGTCTTCATAATGGATCATTATGATTTAAAAGGATCATGGATTTTGTCTAGTAGTTTAAATTTTAGCTCCTGCGAGCGCTGCAAATTTTGCGAACGATAGGTGATGTAAAACAAACAAGCATCCGGTGTACTTGGCCGTGTTGCAAAAATATGTAGAAGCACTCCGCAGAAAGAGCGGATATGCGAACAGAAAGCCGAGCACGTGCGGGACCGGAAATGACATTGCAAGATTCAAAAGTATAAATTCAATCTTGATTATAAATTTAATCAACTGTGTTGTAATTTTTATCTGCGTATTTATATTTTATTATTTATTTTATTATACAATTTGAGTATAAATGAGTTAATTAAACTCTAAGTTAATACGATTTTTAAATCGCTTTAGAGTTATCAGAAAATGTATCAAAAATTGCTTTAAATCATGAAAGCTTGATTTCTCATCCTTTTGTAAAATTAATTTCGCAAATTTTTTATATTGCGAAATGGAATATTGCTGACAGTTGTTGCTTTGTTATTGTACAGGTTTGATCATCAGATTGAAATCAGAATTTTAATTAACAAATATTTTATAGTAAATTTTTATTATTGAAATTCTTATTTTATCTTTCACTTGTCTATTGAAAACCCGATTCCGCAAAATGTAATATGTCGATTATATTACGCGCATATATCTTTTATACACATATCACATTTTATTTGTCGTGGGTACTTCTCATTTTGCATGATTCAAATGTTTTTGATACGTTAAAGTCAGCGGCGCAATGATTAGTTTTTATTTTTTCCAAGTCGAACAGATTATTTCGTGACAGAGAAATTAACGTAAAATCGAGTTTGTGTATAAAATAGCATCGTATAATGATCGTCGAAATGGGCGTTGGCTTTCTTTCAAGTATGAAGCATTCAGACAGTCCGTTTTGTCCCATTACGAGCCTCATTGGATTCAACACGACGTACTTTCGCCAACCAAACTTTCCTTTGGTCGATAAACCGTAATCCAGCCAACTCCCTTTGGCCTCCCTCGAAATATCCTCATCTTTGGAGAATACTATCGTTCCCTACGTCGGAAGTATCGATCGCTGCGTTTGAAATAAAAGTATTATAGTATTATATATTTTACAGTATTAAAATGGTATAAAGCATTACGTTATATTTAATAAAAAAATATTAAATAATTTTCAAAATTTAATAAAACTTATTTACACCAAAAAATAAAAATATATACGCATTATTTTAGTATCATCGGAGATATTTCTATGTAACCGTAGCTTTTTAGCTAATTTGAAATCGATTTCTCTTGAGCGAAAATATATATTGAGAGAGATAGACATTTATCTCAATTTTCCACACATTTTTGTAATTAACTCTTATATTGGAATTCTGTTAAAACTTATCCAAAATTATTACTGTCATAAAATTGTGACAGTATAAAATTATTTTTGCCATATATTTACGTCAGTAAATATTAATATTTTATTACCAAACGCGCTGCAATTATCACGTGAACGCATTTCCTGGTATTATTTTGCAAAATGACGTCTTCCATATCGTCCCGTCCGATTATCATATAATAAAATCATTACAGGAACACATTCTAGGAACAGGTAATGAAAAACTCGTTTATGTAATTATGTGTAATCTTTGCGTTGTATTAAATATTTAAATCACTCGGAAAAGTAGATTCTCTCTTCTACTTCTCTTTAAAAGGAGGGAAATCTCGCAATCTGCGGTCTAACTGTTGGCAAACAGTCTGGCTAACTAATCTTTTCGATTATCCATGGCAAACGCAATTATAATTCTCTTTCATTTGCTAAGTGTCCGACTGAATGTATTGTGCTTACGCAAAGCAAATAAATATTCAAATTTGTCGTATTTAAGTTGAAGATATTATTTATATTTTGCTTATGTAAAACATATCTTTTTAAACTTATATCTGCAATCTATTACGACCGGCGTTTAAATAAATCAATTGAGGAATAATTCATCTAAACTCAATAAAAAACTTATAGAGTAGATAAAAATGCGCCAGAAAGATTAAAAGCTTAATTTATCTTATCAATATTAGAAAATGAGTTGTTATCGAATGCAAGACTACTCCTGCTAAAAATACGAATACAGTGACATAGATCTAATGACACTAATACGACTAAATATTCGTCTGGAGTCAACGGACATCGGCATTCAAAGCAACGTATTTGCAGTTGAGAAAGTCAGGCGAGTTTCGCAATGTCCAGACACGATTCGATCGAGCAAAGAAGACTGGATGTCGGTCGCGTTCCCCTTCACCGATCAGTTGACCACAGTTTAAACTCTGACTCTGACTCCGATCTGTCATATGAACACATTATCTCCTCTGATTAAAATTTGTCACCTAACAATATAATATTTTAACACATTAAAATTTACAATCCTTTCTCTTGAAAAAAAATTGTATTGCTTACGTTTATTCGCTTGTATCGAATCAAAATTTTGTGTTAATTATATCTCATTAACCAAATTAAATTTCATATCATGAAGTGAGAAATTTTTGAAAGCTACTTTTTATGCTGATTTTTATCGTATTTAGAGCTGCTTATTCAATTTGCTTAGCTGTGTATCTTCATCATGAATTCAGATTTGCAAATTTATGCTTCCACACGTCATTGCCTCATGAATGCTTCGAGTACACGTATTTCAGCGTAAAAGGACATTCCCGAGAGGAATGTCCTAGATTCAGATCAGCTACTCTACGCCTCTGCCAGAGATAGTAAGAACAGAAATGTAATGTAGTGATACAAGGACACCGACGGCAAATCTATATTATTTATCACAGTAAGACAAAGATGAAGAGTGCAATTTAAATGAACTAGTGCATACATAAACGATGGAAAGTTTAAATAACAGTAAAATCGTAATTTTTGCTAATTTAACAAATTGCGATGTTAGTCATTTATGACTGTTCTATTAAATAGAAAAGCTGAAGACAAGAAAAATTTGAATTAAAGCTAAACAATAATGTTTATCTTATTAAAAATAAATTGACATTAGTTCTCTAAATCAATATATCATTTTTGGGGGAAGGAGAAAAGTCAAACATGTATGCATATTACCACAGACGCGCGTCCTTCGCGCTAGTATTTACATCTCGTAAAACGACGTGCTATCAACATCTCTCAGATCCATGTGATATTGGCGGCTGCACTCACCTTGGCTAAAAAAGTCAGCAACAGCAGAAGGACACCGATAAACATGAATATCGGTTGCAGACAGGAGACTCCGCGGTTCGTCATCCTCGAAGAATATAATCCACCAACGTCAAGACCCTTATCCCTTGCTCTCGGGGCCTCCTCACCGAGGCACTCACTAACACTTCACGGAATGACACCCGCGAAGACACCTGCGGCGTGCAGTTAAGTGTCGAGGAATGCGCGAGGAATGTATGTGCGTGTCACATCGATCGATCGACGGCACTGGGACTCACTTTTTCGAGCCGCGCCGCGCGTGTGCTATCACAAGAAATCGCGTATCCCACCCCGGGCACCTCGCGGTAACACCTGTTTGGCTGTTTGACAGCTACGCCGGCGTCGGAGGCAGCGATGGAGCTGAGAAATCGCGGTGGCAGAAACGGCGGCTGCCATATCAGCCGGCGGACCGCGTGTCGTCGAGCCTTCTGGCTGAAAGCTGCACGTTATCGCGGAAACGAAGCACGAGGAAATAATGACTCGAGCGCGCCAGCCTCAAACGTCGGCTGCTTTTAGTCCTCGGACTGCCCCCACTCGGACCCGGCGCATCCACCCGTGTCACGTGGCTCAGAGTTATATAAATTTTCCCAGATTCAGTAAATCAAAATGTGAATCATTTTCATATGTCTCACAGCGCGCGTTCCTCATTAAATTCTGCTTCGACGAATCGCATTATCTTCGTGCCAAATTGAAGTGGGTCGTCTTTATCGAGTGCATTCGTTTTTATTTTTCTCTCGAATATACCCAGACGTGGAATGCTTGATTTTAAATATCGCAATGTTTTTCTTAGATAAAAAGCCGAATGTTCCTCGGAAGATTGATTGATATAATAATATTTTTCATTTATTACTTTTATTGTGCTTCTCACATTTTAACATCTCTATCTGATGTTAAAAATGTATATATTAGTACATACATAAATAGTTATCAAAGAATGATAGACAACTTTTTATCTCTTCTGCGTTTCCTATCTTTTGGTTCTGCTTCTTTTCATGTTGTTCAGTAGAATACTGGTTTTTCCCACACTAAAAACCAAGTAGTTTGATTTTTTCTCGAAATACGTGACGTGAAGAATAGCAGAGCGAGTAGAAGATGATTATAAAATTACTTTGTTGTGTCGCACAGAATGCATAGCGTAGTATTTTTACTTCTATTTGCGCTCTTTTCCACGTATGTTCTTTGCATTGCGTTTGTCTATTCGAAGAGTAAAAAACGTGATATCAACTTCTGGATTAGTTTCCGCCCTTCGTTACTCTCCAATTTGAGCACTCCAATGTGCGGAACGAAATAACGAACTGCAGGGGTGGCGCCCTATAGCGCGGTCAACGTGACGACAACGAGGTAACGAAGCAGGCTTCAGAAAACATTGGAAATAGCCGTGAGATTGCTCGCTGATCGGAAGCACATGGTTTTACTCAGAGAAAAAATAATCGATTTAATCGTTCCTCCCGCATTTGTTACTGCAATCTTTCTCTCTTGACTCTTATTGAAATTTTTATTACTCGACAATTCGACTTAATGTAGAATTCGAAAAATTATTTTTAGTAATCAAACTCCAATCTCTTGTGCGTCGCACGTGTCTAATTAGTGAATGACTTCGCATCATCGGATATCACTGACGAAACATACGAACTCGATCGCGTGACGGAACACGACACGAAAACTGATACGAAATATAAGTTACGGCCGAACTATGACGTTCACTTACCAAGGAAACTTCCTTCCGTTACTCTATCACGCTTTATGTGCACGATGTCACGCGTGAGAAGATCTGCCATGCGTTACGTCCGACGCGAAGTTATTCTGAATCGTCCGCCAGGACGAAACATCCATGAGATGCAGGTATCGTGTATTTAGGATTACAAACGCTCCGCCTTAGCTAACAAAGGAGCATATACCTGAGCATTATTTCGAAGTCATTGTCTATGCCGCTCCCTATGTATTCTCGTTAAATCATCGGAGAGGAATCCGCTCAGGCATTGTTATAAAATACGGAGTTAAATTTTAAACAAACACCATGAAACAACACCAATTTTTTTTCATCAAACGCACAGGAGAGTTTTTTCTCTTCGAGGTCGTCGCGCGGTGTCAATTAAAAATCAGCACACTGGCCGTGCTTTTTTGCGATGCTCCGATTGTGGTTTTTTTTTTTAACGAAGAAGAGAACGACATCTCTTAAATTCGTGATCTCGTTTGTAGCCTCTCGTAGTTCCAGCCGGACGTCCGCACGACGTCTTCGTCATCCTGCAAGCCAGATGAACACCTGGATCGAAGTCCTGGGAGATACTGTAACGGCCGCCGCGTGTCGACGTCGTACTTCGAAGTCAGGCGGAAGTGCGACGGAGAGAAAAATCGGCAGCCGAGAAAATGGGAAGCAAACGAAGCGTTCAACGTGCTTTCGTACGGCCGTAGGTGCACTCGGTCGACTGGCGCGCTTTCATGACGCCTCACCCGGTGCGGGCGACCACCAGGGCCAACGGGACCTCGGTTGCTCTCTCGACACTCCACTCGTGGCTCCGATCGTGGCAGCGCCAGGCTAAGCCATTCTCTTCGCCTCGCCCCTCACCGCTACCACCTCGTCGAGCAACCTGGCTGTCTTTCCATTCCGATTCTCTCTCTCTTTCTCTCCCGCCTGCCTGCCTCGTCTATCCTCTTCGCTCTTCCGACCCGGTCTGTCCCGGCTGGATATTCAACACAGCCGCCATCACACCACTGTATCCGCTGCCTTGGCTCCCACCAATTCGATCTCTCCCTCTCTTTCTGATTCTCATTCCCCCTCGCTTGCTCTTGTCGTGTGAATTGTGAGCGTGTACACGGTGTACGTGATGTACGGACGAGCAAGGTGCGTTTGTGTGCGAGTAAATCCAGTAGCGTAGCTAGAGAACGAGGGTTGCAAACGAAATAATGGATGGGACTCAGTTACTTGTCAATGTACTTCATTTCTTTTGTTTTCCGAGCGCAATTCTGGTAGGAGTGTCTCGTTGTATTCGATACACCTGGTTTCATCCCCCGTAGTTGCGGTGTAATCTACTGTCAGCTATTCATCTCTTTCTGGTATTGTCTCTGCGCACACTGCTGAAAGTAATATCTAATAAAACATGCGAATGTATCGAAACAAGAGCATTAAAGCGGATGAATGGCGCGATATTTTTAAGAGACTTCTTAAAAAGGCAAGAAAAAAAATACAAGTTTCTTCTCAAAGAGGAAGTTTCTTCAGAGGAAGTTTCTCCGGAGAAAGTCGGTGCACGTTATTCAATGTTTAGATCATGCCATATCATTATAATTATTGAATCGTTTTATTTATCCGCGTAATTCATTTTATTCCAAGATTATTCTTCTTCTTTCAATATTTTTTCTCATTGCTCTCTCAGATGCTAGAATCTGCTTAAATTCTGTGCATGACCGTGAAAAATGATTCATAATATTTGTAATTAACATGAAGTTAAATATGGAGTATAATCATTATGCTAAAAAACTCATCTCAGATTACTTTATGCGGATCTGTTTGCGGTTGCAAATATTTAATGTTTAACTGACGAATATTTAAAGCGACGGAATATAGCGTAGTAATATAAGAAATTTAGCTGTCGAAAGACGGGCAATATTAGCACGGTAAACATGCCAACGTTAATCGATAATTTCTATTTCTCAATCGTGAAACGTGTGTCGCCCATATGTCACGTTAAACGATGGGAAGACGCCCATAGAGTGTGTCGTGTCAATTCCACGCAACGGCATTTAAATGGACGAGGTGTCTCCGCGGATTTGGAAAATCCTGAGCGCGACACCTGCGATTTTCCACAGCCATGTTGACATCGCTGTCTTCTTTTATATCTTCTTTTTCCCCGGGTAACATCGTTCCCCGCCCCATTGCCCGGCGAGCTCCCGAAGTTGTGGAAGGTGAAACTAACACACTCGCATCCCTCGCCCGCTCGTACGTATACGACGCGTGCATTTATACGTGTGCGAACTACTGACCACACACGCATCCACCACCTCCTGCGTCTTCCTCTCCACCGTCACATCTCTTGCTAAGCCCTCCCTCCACCCCTCGCCGCACCTCGCCGTACGTTCCCCCCGGCCTTTGCCCTCCACCACGTTGTTCCTGAAGCGACAGTCGCCACCTGATACACGCGCGCGTGCGCTCACACGCACGCACAAATCTCATAGGTGTACCACCTTTATTCATGAAGAGTCGTTGCTCTCCCACACCTACGCAGGTGTCCCTGCAAACCCTGAAGCCAGAGACGTGGTTAGCGTAATTAGTACCCTGCTGTAGACAATTGTCAGCGTTAGAATTTGAAATCGCGCACGTAAAGCGTTAATTCCGAAGCGCTGACAGGGGGATGGAAAAAATCAATAGCGACTACGCGACGCAAGTGTCAGGCACGTTCTGCAAGTTTTATTTAAGTTGCTTGCAACAAATGCATGAAGATCGCAAATTGAGGAGCGTTACGAACTTTCTATGTTCTGTGTCTTTCTACGCTATAAATGATTTATGCGCACCTTACTCAATAGCAGTCTGACGAGTAACAAAATAGTAGCTCATCAAGCTGTCATTTTATGATAGCAACGAAAACGCGTTTTAGTTTACGTCATCATAGTCACGCTACTTTCACCGTATCGTTCGTATATTTTCTGGCATAGAAATAGTGATAGAATAACGAATTTGGAAAAAAGACGCAATACGTTTGAAAATTTATATCTAATATCGTTGTAAAATGAAGGAGTTGGCAAGCGCGTTAAATTTTTCATACATATGAATACAAAGAAAAAATTATACTATAAATGCACGTAGAATTATACTTTTACACATTATTATAAATAAAATAGTACTAATTTGTTTACAGAAGTCCTATATTTTTTAAAATAAAGATTACTTTTTAAATTTGCATTTGGGTAAAATCTGCAAGTATAAAATAGTTCGCAGTGATACGTGTAGGAGTCTATTTTACATTCTATTATACTTTACTCGTACAAGTAAAATAGTTCTGCTAACAAAGTCTGTTATTACACTGGTGGGTAATATTACTTTCTGCTATTACACATGTTGGTTTAAATTCACAATTCAAATATAAAATATCCAAATTTTTGTATTGATAAAAATAAAAGGATACTAAGAAGTTTACAACTTCTTATTTTGTAATTATTTTTAACAATTTTTTATTAACTGCCGACGGTAACAGATCGCGTAGTTGAAATGCAGAATAAAGCCGATGATCAATGAAGCGATTTCGTCACTTTTATCAATGACAACTAGCTATATATTCGACTACCCACAACCACCAATAAATATGCATACTTGCGAATGTATGGCGAGGGCCAGGAAAACTGACGTCAGCAACAGGTTCAGGTATCTTTTGTCATCTTTCATCTCTGCTCATCATGACGTCATCGTCGGAGCAGTTGGTCGGCAGGCCTTTTAAGAATAGACCCGTTTCTTTACCATAGTTTTAATTACAAGAGAAACAATTCTGAAAAAATTATTCTCAAACGTAATGAATTTATATTTCAGTAAAATTGAACGTACTTGATATCTTTTAAAACAAGTCGTAGTTTACGATGTTTACGATAACATTTCGAAAATACGATAATCTTATTTATTGCATAATATGTTTACACACAATCATAGACACGGTAACACTTTAACCAGACAAGCGACGCGGACGCACATTTGACGAGATGGTCATCTGCATCTATGCTTTATTTGACAATGTTAAAATTGGAAAAAACAAAAATACATGTTAATTTTCTATTTTATTCAATTGTGCATATCTTAAATTACTACAAGCTTCTGAAATGACATGTATATAGTAAAAGTAATCACTTCTTTGTGGCGCAATTTGATCTTGAATGCATTAGAAAATGATGTTTCGTAATATCGATGATCTCTCGATCTTGAAACGTGAGGATCGAGGGCTTCCACGGGTCGGGGACACCTAACAATTCGCGATCTATAGCGCATGCGTTTGCTCTGGTCCTGTCTACCCACGTCGGATTCTGGCGAGCGGCGAGCAAGTGAATGTAGTCAGTCCTGGACGGACGGTCAATCCGGAGTCCCACGAACCGCTCTTTCGATCGGAATTGATCGGTTTGGATCTAGCGCGTGAGAAAAGTTGCCGGGAAGAAAACAAGCTAGAAAAGTGATTTAGCCGGTGTGCAAATTTTGGATTACCCTTTCTCGCGAGGTAAGAGTAATCGCATGATGTTTTAAACTCTTTTTTAGGCCGTGATAATCGATTTGAAATCCATACAAATTTATTTAATGATGATTTTATTTAATATTATATAAATTGCAACAATTTTGTAAATATTATTTGTTGACTCGTATTAAAGAAATTTATATAAAAATATCTATAATAATTTTATAAATATTTGTAAGTTTTGATCTATTATCTTATTCTAAGCATCGCAAAAATATTAAAAAATCAAACATACGCAAATTGAAACTCATAAGCTTTCAAGAGGATTTAGAATACAAATAATGCAATTACTCAAGCAATTTAGACGTGATCATATTGTAAATGGACTAATTGTATAATTCTTTAATTACCAGCGCACAAATTAGCGGCGTTATCATTATTAATTAACGTCATTATCTTAATATAGAATTGTTTCGTGCAATTATGTTGCTTGTTTCTATTAAATTATCATCGGTGCAAGCCGCCGCGTTATCAATTCCAGTAGTAGTAATCAATTTTCATTGAAAAAAACTTCAGTGCTTTTGAATGACTGCGAACAGTAACCATCATTATGCCACACATGACATTGGTTAATTCACGCCATGATTCTTGATGTTACAAGATTAAAAAAGTCCATTCTTACTCGGAAATCGTTCATAATCATGATTCGTTACGGCGTGGAATAATGTAAAATCATATAATGCGTTACAAATTATATTAAAAGATTATATGAATCATAAAATTTTAAAATTAAGTTATTATATATAAAAAATTAAAGTTTTTATATTTACAATTTCTGTTATTTGTAAAAAACAAAATATGTACAATTGAAAAATTTATTTTTGACATTTTTTAAAATGGAAATTAATTTCATAGTTTGATTTAGATGTAAAAGCGAAAAAGATAAAACATAAAAAATATGTTTTTAACTTTATATATTGTATTTTATACGTCACATGTAAAATTTATATTGCAAATTATTTTTACAATTTTGGTATATTATATGTATCAAAATTTTACAAAATTAAAATTGTACAAATCTTCTGAATTTTTATCTTTCTATATATTTAACGAACGATGAAAGACATCACATCACGTTATTATGAATAGTTTTACAATTGTTTTATCAAAATTATAAATTTTGTCAAAATGTAAGTTTACAAAATAATTGTGCTACACAAAATTAAAAAATTAATTATTAAGAAATATTTATTTTAAAAAAGCGTTATATAAAACTAGTTTCTGACGTGCGGAAGCTTCTATTTCATATGTAACAATCTGGCGCTGTGTTTATAAGTCTGTAATGTTAATTGGAATTCGTCTCTTCAAGCACTATGTAATACGGTGGGCAGATGATCGAAGATAGGCGGAAGGTCGAATCCTACTTTCCGTCTTCACAGATCGCTCAGCCATGTTAGGTGCGTTTTAAACACCACTCAGAGTGAATACCGGTATGCATAATTCATGCGTCACTACAGACGTTACAACCTTCATTAAGAGCTTCGTAAGCAATGCATAATACATGAGAATAACATTACCAATAAAGTGAAACTCTTTGACATAGTGCAATATTTGACGACAGTTGTAAAATACATAATTATTAATTATCTTCTTAAAAAATGTACAAGCAAATTATTGAGATTTGAAACAAAATCGTAATTCTTGAAAGTATCTGGCTTTTACATAATTTTTCCGATTTATTCCTATCATTACTATTCGGATGGTATATTTTTGCACGAAAAACGGACTTGTCGAATAATAAATAAGACGGATTCTTTTTTTATACATTATAGAGGTGAGAAAAAAGACACCATGTGATGAAGGTAGAAGCAAAAATAGGCACAACGCCAAAAACATATTGGCTCGTAAACATAAAGCTTCTCGCCATTGGATAGCATTCCAAAAATAGAGCTGTGTACTCTGATATATCTTCCGTCACGTTTCTTTACGATGTCACGTGAAACAATTAATTTTACAAAAGCGTGATTTTCTAATACTACAAAATATTACATCGTCAAAATTCCATGGAGATGAAATCTACGTAAAATATATTTAGTCAAATGCATTTCTTAGTTTTTATACGTTTAAATTATTATAAATTTGTAGCTACGGAAAACAGTTAATGAAAACAGTCACGTGTGCAAATTTTATCTTGGCACTACACGAGCCAAGATTCATGCTTCGTTTGTAAACGTTTGCAAAATAGCGTTAACCCTTAACTGACATGCGGTAATCTCACAGACTACCGCTTCTCTATTCCGTCATCTCCATTTTCTGCTCTGGACCTGTATTATTAAATATCTTTCTTTCCTGAATGTTTTCTTGTGAATAACGGTTTAACAGATTATATAATGTTAATTAAAGAAAGAAATAATATATATTTTATTTGATAGTTAATAAAATCTAAACAAAAAGTACTAATATTAGATTAAAATTAAAAAAATATTGCGATAAAATTGAAGTTATATTAAACTAAAATGTTATATATTTTTAAATTAAATTTGCATAAAAATTTAAACTTCTCAAAATTTTTTACATTAAATTTTGCAGACTCTGCAAGACTCAATTTATCATTGTTTTGTAGTTTTTCAATAAGAATAATTTATAATAAATATCAACAATTGACTGTGAAATATTTTAATATATTATTCGTAGTACTTTTGACTTCATAATTTATATCTGGCTTGTCTATCTTTTTTTTTGTTACTTTTACTTTGTTTTTAATATTATTTATTAAATTAATAAATCGAATATCGTCACACACACACACACACACACACACACACACACACGCGCGCGCAAACACAAATTACTATGAAAAATTTACTATTCACGTGAACTGCGTCAGCAGTAGGAAATCTGCTAACTGAAAAGTAAATAACAGCATAAAAGTGGATGGGTTATATTTAAACTGGTTAAACAAAGAGTGGAGAATGGCAGCGGTCGAAGAAGGAGATGAAAAAGAGATTCCGGGCGCCAGTTGGTTGGACGATTGCCACCCACGTAATGTCAAATGTCGCCATTAAATTTACACGAGATGAAGCGTATATTTTTTTCTCATCTCTCGCGCGTGCATACGCGCGAAACGATAATAAATGACTGGCGAGATTTATTGAAGTGCCAAATGTCACAACAAATTGCCAAATGTTGAAGACATTAAAAAAAAAATTTTTTTTAATTCTTAATAAAAAGATTATAAAATTTTTTATTGGTTGATAAATATTTATAGAATTTATAATTTATAATTAATATAATTATTATATTAATTGAATAGAAAGTTACCCAAGGCCGTTGCGATAAATTTGAAACTCTTATGATTTTTTTATGGAACGGGCACACCCGAAAAACACGAAAAATCGGACACGCAAAAAGTTCTCATTAAACTTTCATACATTATTACATATGTATCAACAATACCATATCACGTTTCAATTGTTGGAGTCTCAAGATCAAAACAGGAACTTAATATTAATCAGTAAAATGTTTTATTAAGTTTTTGAAATTTGATGAATATTTAATAACGAGAAAAGTCATTCATATTTGATGGAAATATTAATGTTTATATCGTTTGCGTAATTGCATGCAAACCCAGAACTTTCTCCCATTGACACAGTTGTAATATTATAATGTTTATACGTTTTCACCAGTCCAAATATAGTAAGCAAATCCGATACTATAGTTAGTAATTCCACAATTAATAGTGACATCATATACCGTTATGTAATATGTATCTAGTATGCTGTAACATAGAACAGTATACATTTGTAGCGTGTAGTATTACAGAAATGTTACGATGCGTCAATATGTCAGCAGTTGTAACATAATCATGTCGTTGCAATGTGATTTCATAAAACGTTTAGGATAACAATGCAGTTCTTACAGTAGTAATTATTTTTTTCCCAACAATAAACAGATTTTGCATCAGAACGTATATCTGTACAACTTTGCTGGATTTAAAATATTTTTTTGTTATATAAAATAAAATATTGGTTGTATATTAAAAATAGATTTCAATAATTTTAATTATTATTATAAATTTATAAGTCACTTTGTTTGTTTCTAGCGCATTTCATAATCAAATTTTGGCTTCTTACAATTAGAAACAAAAATACGCATGATCTTGTAAACTTTCGACATAATTTACATAATTTGCGAATTACGGACATCGGCGAAAAGGTCTCTTCATGAAGCAGAACACGTTAATCATGAATTTGTTCTCGCTAGTTACCGCGCTTAAAAGTATCTTAGATCGGTGCCAACATGATTAACTATCTAATTCCGTCGGATTGGATCATCGAGTTAAATGTTTCTAATGCTTGTTTATACTCCCATTGATATTATTTCATAGCTTATTTTAGTTTCTTTCTTTGCTCTAGTTTAAAAGAATACTATATCAAGATTGATATATCAATAAGAACTTGCATATAAATTTTTTCCGAAACAAATAAAAAAAATAAATTTAAAACGCAGTTGGAGGTAATTAAAATTATTGCAATATTAATTATATATTGGAAAAGTAAGAAAATAATATTAATACGATAACGCGGTTGATTTTTTGATTTTTATAAAACACATTTACATTTTAATATAATTTAAAGAAACCATGTCACGGTTTCATCGACAAAAAGGGGCGCGTTTTCTGAGAGGTTGTATCGTTCTGGGCCAACAGCGATGTAATTTTGCAAACGATGCTTCTTCTGTTTTCCCTCCGCCCACTGCGCGCAATCTCTTCATGTTTAAATGAGACGAAAGTGATTGCGCAAGATTTGCGATCAGTAACGCACAGGTGCAGCTTCATGTTGAAATTATTACTCGCAGCTCAAAGCGGCCAAGAGTGCATTTGCGCAAATTATGCGCTTAATTAAATCGGTGGATAAATAAAATTTTGCGACTAGTGGGAGTCGACATCTATGTTTCCACGGGTATTAAGCTGATTGTGAGCGGAATCGCGATCAGGTTGTCTTCTTAGAATCGAACGAATCGCGCGATCACCGTTGTTTCAATTGACACGATAACCTTGGAAAGCGGGGTACAATGTCACTGACGATGACCGGCTAACTATCTGCTTCAAGCAGTTACATCGCGCGCTATCAACGGCGTAACTGCGACAATGTGCGATTACACGGAAGCATCTCGAATTCGCGCTTCTAATTGTATGATTTGAAATTTATGAAATTTATTTTATCAGTTTTACGTGGCATTATCGGTTTTCTATATACGTTTTGCGAACATGATTTGAACGTATCGCGATTATGAGAAATTAATTTTATCATTTAGTTTTTTTTTTTCAATCGAAGCTTTAATTACGCCACTGTCCATTTGAGCTGATCAAGTAGTTACGTGTGCTCTATATTAAACAGGAATGACGCGGCATGCTTTGAAGTTAACTTGCAACGCACTCTGAATGCGAAATTGTGCGATTAAATTCGAGATTGAGTGGTATATAAACTTGTTATCGCATTTTTTAACTCCTATTTCGTAACTCACACATATCTATGACTACTGAAGTTATTTATACAAAATTGCAATAAAAACTAATCTTTAGAGATTTTGTTCTCTAATAATTTTTATGATATACATATATACGTATGCAAACATAAAAATCATATATAATGCGTTGTATTGGCGATGTTATGAAAAATATTTACTTTGTTAACTGCTAGAAATAGTTTATGTCTCATTCTTAACATGTCTTCGTTAGGAGTAAACTGCCTTTTATGGAGATTTTGATAAGTGTGTGTACAGGTCTCAAATGCGGTGTCATTAACAACACGTAAATCATAATCAAGGCGACGACATTCATTATGAAGGCGCGTACAATACCCTAATTGACCTTGATCTGCATCCATCCAGCCTTGGTCCAATTCGCCCAAATTTGCCTTTAATAAGAGTCATCTGTCACTGCCAAATTTGGATCGAAGCCCCTTTCTTTTTTCTCGTATCACGATTAAGTAATATATCATCAACCTACGCTCGCATTCAACAGTTGGTAACGAGTTCCAGGAACCATCTCGTTTCGAGGTTTTAGAGGCGATCATATGAATGCGTACCTCTTTAGCTGCCGATTCTTGGAAGGCCTCCTTGGCCCCCTGGCCTCATTCGTATTGGTGCCTCCTCCGGAATAAATATAAGTCCATTTGACATTTCCGCTGATTTAGCTCTTCCAGACATTGCTCAGCTTTTTTTTCGAGTCTTATGTGCTAAACTGGTTCTGCGGAATTTTATATCATACCTCACATCATAATTTCCTAACGTAATGATATTTAATAACACGGAGAATTTATCAGCGCGAAATGATTTAAATTTCCGTACATTTTTTTTCTCTCTCTCAACATATTTTGCCAAACAGCCTATGGCATGTTGAGAAACTGCTTTTACGATTAAGGTAAAAAACTTGCATGCGCGACGGAACCTACACCCACTCGAACCTAAAAGTGGTCGCTCTGGTCACGACTGTTGCGCGAGCCGTAAACCGGCTTCGAGTACGAAAGTTTCTGCGAAAGTCCATGGATGCAGAGATCCGCACACAAATCCTAATATCAATTCTATTTATAACTCCGGGCTATATATGTAGTGCGTTGCAGCGAGAAATATCCGTCCAGACTATCGTTCCAGTTACTTAACGAGCTGCAAGATCCCAAGATCTGATAAACTCGATGAACGTTTACAATGAAACTAATTGATGACAGATGACACTGAAATTAATCAGGACAATTAATCAGGGCAATCAGTTTAGTCTCTATGTTACTCGTTGCAGATTTCGTGAGGCAGGGCTCGAGAGGAACACAATGTCAGCATCTGTGAGGGAGCGGACGGCGACGCACACCAGCAGGAAGATCGTGAGTCATGGCGGTCCTATATCTGGCCAGAGAGACGGCGCGGCCAACAGTCTCGAAAACAACTTAGGTAAACCATTAAATGTGCCACCAGCACATGTAACCCTATCTATCCGTTATTCCTTTTCACACCTTTCTTTTACGCGACACGAATCCGATCTTTTTCACGATATTCTCTTGAAAATTTTTAAATAAGTAATGTATGTATATATATATATT